CTCATTTCATCTTTTTGAGAATGTCGACGTCGTTTTGGGCCCAGCTAAGCATCAAAGGAGCTCCGTCCAAGAAACACTCAGAGAGTTCCATTTTGTTTTGCGGTGCATTGGCCCAATTTATCCATTTTACTCTAAAATGTTGTAATTTATACGTCTCCCCTACCTGTTTAGGAACTTTTTATGAAACAGGTGCTGTGCAGCGCTTACGTTAGTGCTAAATCTTCTTCAACACAAAATGGCGATTTGGGCATTTGTCACATCCAACAATCTTCATCAAAATGCAACAAAATTCTTAGGGTCTCGTCACATCTTTATTTCACTCCGCACTTCTTCTGGTGGCCAGTTGTCACGTTCTTTGACTGAATTTCAGACGAAGTCATAGTCATCAAAACAGCAATGTTTCATCATTTGCCAAAGAACTAGTTGTTCTGTAGAGCAAAGCTGTCGTTTGTTTTCTCCATTTCATAAATCACATGTGTACTGTAACCCCCATCGTATGATTTTTACTGGAGTTTGTACGAGTATGCTATCTTTTTAACTTGAGTCATTAGACATTTCATGTTATCAAAGCCGTATTTTGATATTTTAGGCGCTTTCTGTCTGATACGAATACGGTGAAACTCACAATCGAGATCCTTTTTAACTTTCGTTACACTTCAGAAGTCACCGTATTTCAACGATAGGCTTATCAAAACTACACGAAGTCAGAGTTCCTTTTAAGTGGCAAATTAGACATGTCGCAAACAAGTTTTGCCAAGTGTGATTTTGAAAAGGTTTTCGAATATGAGTCGTGTTGTGTCTTAGTAAAAACTTCTAAGTTTTGTTTCGGTTGCGAAAAGCTGACGGCAATTAATGTCTTCGACTCTGCCGCCAAGAAAGCCTGCGCGGTGACCTTGTTTTCTGAATTCATGCTTTGACATTTGCAGGTCCAAGGTGGGAATGGCGTTGTCCGTACTGTGAGTTCCCACTTCGAAATCCGCATGCAACTTCCTTTACAGAAGTATAGTGCTGGCTGTAGTACGAAGTGACAATGTCATCATCGAATGGGCGCTTATTTAAAGCTACCCCAGATAAATTGCGGCGACGAATATGAAAAACCAGCGGCCGAAGTACCACCCTTTGAGGAAAATAACATGACATGTGGAATTGCGAACGGATCCTGGAAGACTCCTGTGGAATACGAACTACATTCTTCAACTGTTCATTAAAATATTCTATTTGATTTATTTTCAGGTAGTCCTGTTGCAGGCGGCCATCATAGATTTAGAGCGGTACAATCACCAGGTCAAATTCCAAGTTGTAAGGAGAAGACAGGGGAACCAGAAGGCAGCAGTGGTCGCTGGCAAAGCCACGGCTAGTATTGACTGAGTCCGGTCTTGCCTGAGAGTCCGTGGGACAGTGGCGGCAGCCGTTTTTGTAGGCTTGTGGGCCAAACTCAAATGGTGTCCAGTCAGTGTATGATACATTTGCCGAGGGGTTGTGTCCCAGTGGCTTAGGTTGTGGTTGCAGGAGTGAGGAGCATTCAAGTGACCGCATGGGCAGCTGCGACTGTGTGGACGCAGGTACGTCCGAGCTGAAGTCGGTCGAGTGGTCTGGGGGTCAGCGCGTCTGGAACGGCTCGCTGCAAGGGGTGAATGACCCTGAGGCAACGAGGCCCTGAACAATGACGCAAAACTGACCATGATAGCTGCCCACAAAAGCTCCCTGCCTGCAGGTTGCACTTCTGTCACGTCGGGGTCACCAAGTAGTAGCGTTCTAAGTGTAAACATTCACCGATTAGTAGCTACAGCCCATAGTTCCGACATATATACGTCCATCAGCAGGCCACGAAATACTGTGCCAAAAGTCCTACTGTGGTCAAGGAACACACTGACCGTGTTGCTTGCAGAGAGCCCGTCTGTAGTTCTAGGTAGGGCAAGCCCACGTAACACAAACACAACACAAACTGCGCCTCAGTACTCCACCGAGCTTGCCAGCTAATTCGTGGAAAAAGTTCTTCTTTGACACGTCCCACGGAAACGGCTGACGTCTTCCGTTCGGTGGGTCTTCAATCCGTAGAATGGACCACGTAAAGACATACCGTTCCTGCCTTCTTCCATGCATAAATCAAGTCAGTGTAGAAAATAATGTGCCTTATGAGGTATTTTTTTGCTGCCCGTAACTAGCGGCAAATGGCAATCTTTATTATTGTTTGCGTATCATTATTGGCCAAGTTGAGAAAACTGTGATAAGAGCAACTTGCTACTTAGTATTTGTCGCCATATGGTTCACACACCACTCTCATCCAGCGCGTTCGCCAGCTACCAAAGGCAAAACTTCGAAAACACAAATACGTGCCGCAGGGGGTTAAATTCTAGGGTTCAAACAAACCTGGTTCATAAAGACCAGCTCACCCTCAACCAGGGCAGAAGATTATGTGCAGTCTTCTAGGGGGACTGCCACTTCAGTCAAACGGATGCAGTTGTAGCAGCCGCCCCAGTGTCCCCCTTTTATGGCGCCTTCTCTGTCAGTCGACAGCCGCGTCAACGGCGTCGACCGCGGACGCAAGGCCACCCTCTCAGGCTTGAGCCGGGACGCCTCTTGTTCGGCTACAGTGCCCCGCGGCTGCGCACACTAACTTTCGCCGCATCACGCGCGTCGGACCATCTGGCTTGTCAACCGTGTTATCTGTCATCATGCCCCCCCCCCACGCCCTAGACTCTGTCCCCCAAAAAAATCAATGTTATGACCATCCCACAGCTGGACATGCACTCATGCTGGTGCAGACATGCACTCCCGCGAAAGCAGACCTACGCGACTGACGCGATCCCAAACGGACGCTTTGGTCTGACGCAAGCGGTCAGTAGGTTAGTGTCAGTATAGGTCAGTATACTTTAAGAGTAATAAGCAATGCCTTTGAAAACCCGATTGAAAACGGCACATGCAATATCTAACCTCAAATAAACGTGATACTAACATTTTGTCAGTAACGTGTGCATTTTACATAATAGGTCTCTGGAAGTGCACAACCGAAACTCCTGGCAACCTGTCCTGTTTACAAAATAAACCTGTTCTCACAGTTACCTGACCTATCCCGCGAGTAATATTGGACTTCTTTCCCGAGGAGTCGTTCATGTTGGCCAGGATAACCCTCGAGGCAGCTCGTATGCTTTCCCGTGACCGGGTCTAGAAACTGTGCTGGGTATTTGACAGTGGTGTGCGTGTACCAGGTCGGAACCAGGAACCAGCGCGCGTAACGTCCACTTACCCCAATACGACAAGGTGCTTTCCTACGTAGTATTTTTGAGTGGGGCGGTATTGGCACTTCTGCATTCTACGTCGTATTTCCACTTACTGACCAGGCCTTATTTCATCTGGAGCCCCATTCCAGAACCTCTATGGCCGCAAGCTTCAAATGGAAGAGCAGCCGGACAGACATTTCTACATACCAGCAGAGAATGTCAAGAAAGATAGGGGTAGATTGATGCAACGTTGTTCGTGGCGCGATCTGCCCTCATTCACTTCGATCCGGTAAGTGGTGGTCCGTTTTTGACCTCTGACATCCATTTGGGGCCCAGTTTGCTTTGGAAAGCCAACAGATCGGTGCGCGCCTATTCTTCTTTCTGCATACGTCGAACCAGTCGTTTACAGACTTTTGGGGAATACCAGTTGCCACGGTGTACTGACTGGGTGCCGTTCCAGAAATGAAAAAGAGGCCCGCGCCAACAAACGGACATGGGCGGATACGACCGTCACCTCAGGAAATTCTTGCTTTCGTGCCTTTCATGTCCAAACATGGGTCCTTCACGTCAGGCTGCGAGTACTTATTTCCCCTCACAACTGCACCTAGCATTCAGGATTAACAACTTCTTGTGCTGTCAATACTCACTCCACTGTGGCAAAGTGACCTTGAATTGCACAAATTGGTATTCCGACAACTGATACCGGATGATTAGCGGATATTGGGCGACTTCGCCTGCGAAGGGATTCACGCCGGAAAAAAGTATAGTTGGTTTGGGACATGTGGCGTACTCACACCACCTAGATAATGGAACTAAGACTGAAATTAAGGCTCCGGCGTCAGTCGTTGCTTAATGATTACGCCTGCTGTCATTCCCTTCTGTCGGGCAGACCGTAGGTCTAGGTGGCGATGCGGCTGTATCCCGGCAAGGCCCCCATTCCCGCTTGCATCACTTGCTGAAGTGAGACCCTTCGCGATTTGAAACCTTCTGTCTGGCTGCTACCGTTTATGTTTCCAGTTTAAACCGTTTGGGCTAGGGTTGCGGGAGCCAATCATTTCCCATAAGAAGTTAAAGTCTGTGTTGTTAACCCCTTGAGCTACCCCTACGGCTATGCGCTCCCTGCCTTCCCCTTCCTCCCCCCCCCCCACTATCGTTGACCTTGCTAATAGAGATGTTGATAGAGATTGCATCGACGGAGAGAGCGGTGGTCGAACTGTCAAGACCGCTGTCCCGCCTGCTTGTCTGCTTTTTACCCTCGGATCTTAAGTTTGCAGTGAGCTCTTTCTCGTTCTCAAACTGCTTCCCAGTCATTGATAGCTTTAAAAGACATTTTGCCCTTTCCCCTGGTGTCAACCTCCTTTTCGCCTGATTATTACCTCTATGGACTGACCGCTAGTCGTATAAATACAAGAACTCGAAAAGTTCACGAGAAAAAATTTTCCAGTCAATTCTTGCCGTTTATTTCATTGGGAAGACAAAGGAACCAACCAATAAAAAAGGATTGAAAGTGAAATCCCCAAAGCTCGAAAACTTCGACATTGGAGGTGTGCAGTACAGTCTTCCTGGCGTAGATAGAACGCTCGACAGCTTTTTTAAGATCTTCTCAGCCCAGGTGCGCTTGGAAGGCGCGGAAAGGTGGAGTAGTTTCCTGGTACAGTAGTCGGCTGTATGTACACGGACACACACGTACACATCGAGCGGCCATAAAACTGTTTGAGTGTGGGTGTTGCGTTGTCTCCTGGCTTACTTTCGATGGTCCCGTTGTCGCGGTGGAAGCGATCAACCAGTGGTGATGGTGCCCTCCGTCGGGGCGTCCCCTGGTGGTTGTCGCGGCGATGCCTTGGCGCTGGCACTGGCGCTCTCCGACAGCTCCGCGAGGAGAGCTATTAAACGATCCATCTCCCTGCCAAGACGGGCAATATCACCGGCTCGGTGTTCGGCTATCCGACGCCAGTGAGCGGCGGCGGAGGCCGCGACTTTGGCATCGCCCGCACAGGGACACTCGCCCGTGGCATGCGCCTCCAAGAGACGACACTGAATGTATCTGGGAAACAGAACGGAATCGAGTGTGAAACTAGGGTTGATACAATTTCCAGACGCGCCTTCATTATAGCACGAGAAGTACTGGACAGATACCTGAGCAGGACTAAGTCCAAGTTTGGAGAATCGTTAGTTCACTAGTTCTTTTTAACCAAACCCATTCAAGCGTTGTTGCTATTGCTTATTCTCGGTTAATGAGATATTTAGATGCAGCGGAACTAGCAAAACATCTAGCCCTCTTATTCCTACGTCTATTGCGAACTATCTAATTGAGTCTCCGGCGACGGCTGAACCAAAGCGATGAACTCAGTATCTGAGAGAATTCATCTGACCGCCACATATGCGCTTGCTTTGATATTACTTGGTCCCTTCAGTACCGTACTGGATATTGTACAAATTTTGACGTGGAAGGCATTCACACACAAATTCATACCAGTGACCAATGCTTGTTGTATGTAATTACTTACCTAATTTTTTTCACACTTGCCTTACACATTGTTTTTTATGACGTTACTAGCTGGACCCCGCCACGCGTTGCTGTGGCTCAGGTGGATTCAAAATCTCTGTTGGATCAGCGGGCACCGTTGCATTCCCGATTGCCAGCAATTACTGTGAGAATACCGCAGCTGATCGGTGGTTTTGCAGCTCGACACACATATTTGTAGTTAACTTTGCCACAAAAAAGTATTCCAGGCAGACATTTATTTCGTCTGCTGTTTTCGATGGAGTAATTACAGGCAGTAATTGCCCGAAATCTCCTGCAAGCAATAGCAGTAATCTCTCCAAATGGCCTGCTTTTTTCCGCGCAAATCTTGCAGCGGTCGATCGAGGGCCTCGAGCGCTTTTTTGCTCACGGCGCAAATCCACATCTAACGAAACAACAGAAAACCGGTTTGATGAGGACATTCCCGGTTGATAAGGAACTTTTTTCGCGATTTCTTACGTACATATTCTCAATTACTATTAGCGCCTCGCTGTGGATTTCTGCTGTGAAATCCGCATTTGGAATTTTTTGCGTAGTTGACGGAAGATATCCTCAGCCATGTGCGATTTATATTTCTCCCATAGATCTGTTGGAGATGAAGTAGAGCAGGCGGTCATTATAATTGCAAACAATGCACGAATTCGATGTGGATGGGACGTGCTGCACACAACACTAATGCAAACATCCCAGTGTCGGTCATTTTCCAATAAATTGAGGGCCTGGCAAGCACTGAGGAATGTGGCGTGCGTAACGCCGTTGACAGATTTCAATTGCTGGACAGACATTGAACCGGACACCTTCACCAACACAGCGCGGAGTAAGAACCATTCATCCTGATTGGGATGCATGCGTGCAGTCTGCCTATCGCAGTTTTTCTGAATATGCCGAGGTGTCCATCCACTCGGTTTCCTCGTTTGCGTCGAATAAAAGATTTTCTGCACGCACTCCGTGTAATACATAGGCACTTCCGAAAACAGCAGTGTTTTCGCAAACGCGTCAGTTTGGCTTAACGGAAAGAACGCAGTTAATGTGCGTTGCCGGCGGCCTGTTGCACATTTGCATCAGTAAAGTAAACACATTGCTCATTCACTAAGTGTACTGCAAGTGAACAACACCTGTACTTCGCTCATGGATGGGAAAAGAAAGAATCCGTCACACGGCTTTGTGGCTGTTGACGCATCTTCCAGCCCAATACTGTACGATTTCATCGAGTTGTATGTCCACATCCCTTTCCCTCCTTTCGTGTTGCAGGTCAAATCAGCCATGTCGCTGCCGTTGCTCACGTACTTACAAATGTACCAAATTCAATTCCCGGAATTGCAGTTTTCCACGTTTATGTGAACTTCGTGTGCTTTTAAAAGCAAAGGCGAATACGAAAAAACCCAACGGTTACCGACTTGTACGTCACGGGTTCGTATTCGTACGGTTGCCATGCTGCCGACGTCTTCCGCTGATCGTCTTTGGTATAAGGGACTTTCGTCGTTACCGGTGACTGTGGTGCATACGAATGCCCGGGAATATCTCTTAGAACGTTTTCCGTCTATCATACCGGGAGGTGAGGGTTTAGGGGGAGGGGGAGGGAATTGGGACTCAGGGCACCGCAAAGTCCATTTAACATATTCTTCGCCGCGACTTCGGGCAAATCATTGTCGACGTCGGCGTCAGGTAATTCAGCGCATGTTGCATCGGCGATTTCGTTGGCGGTGATCTTGTTATATAGCCAGATCCGGACGTGTTCGTGGGACAGTGCCCTCGTGTTTCACCATAAAGTTCATCAGCGATTTTAGTTTCTTCCTAAAAACACGTGCTGTGATGTCATACCTACTTACCGTCGATAGCCCGGTAGGTAAGAGCTGATAAATAACCCCCCAATCTGGATTGCAGGTGAATGTAATGAGTAGGTCTGGATGCCCGTACTGACAAACATAAGCAATTTGCACCTCGAGCGTACCCGAGCTTATGGCGTGGACTCTCTGTGTATGTGGACGACAAAAACTTTAGTCTTACAACGTTAGTTGTATTACCGTCGTTTACAACTGCATCATGCAAAGGAATATAGTCTTGAGAGCGCAACTTGGTCTGATTCACGCGAAAAGCAGTCGTTCTCTTCCGTTTTTTTGCATACATATCCACAATGCAGTGGTGAAACAATTGACGGCATTTTAAAGGGGGGATTACTTACATTCTGTCGCATCATAAGTCGGTTAGAGTAGGGGTTCATTGGGCTGCAATTCATGTGCGTTACCTCGTCACTGACTGGATATCCATCTGCACCATCCCGAAAAGTAAATGGATACTGCGTTGAAATCGGTCTCCGACTGCCGGTATATATGGCATCACCTTACCCTAAAATCATTAGTCTTCCAACGGGTGTTGGCGTACCGTCGTTCACAACAACATCACGTAGCGTGAATGCTAAGCACGGAGTCGTGTTGGACGCTGGTCCGCTGTTCCTCACTGGCGCCATTCGGCCACTCCCAGCTGGCTGTGTTAATCCTGTTGCTGAACTAAGCAGACCGGAAGCTGCAGAACGCGGTAGCCGTGACCGCAACCCGGCTTCCGAAAGCCGAGCTGCACAATACTGAGCTGACACTGGGTGACAGCCCCATTATGTGGGCTATGCGCGGGGGGGCAGCCGCTGGTGTTAACTGCATCCAGTCCTCACCCCCCAGAGAATCCCAGCGGAAGCGGCAGCAGCCCAATTATGTGGGTAGTGTGGGGCAAGTTCAAGTGGAGCCCAAGAGTTGCGTTTTTTTGCTGCAGGGTGGGTGGTTTGCCTACCGGCCCAGATTGCATCGCCCCAGAGAGGGTGGAGGGCCTGCTCAAGTGTCTGCTGGGGGTGGGTGGTGGGGTGAGCGCGGCTGTCGGGCAGAGAACGTGCGTTTGAGCGAATGTCGGTCAAGTGGCCGCAGTCTGGGCGCACATGTGTCCGCGCGCAATGTAGGTCAAGTGGCGGCAGCAGGTGACGTCGTTAGGCCGGAAAAAATCCAGTTTTTTACCCATCACAGTCATACCATCGGCATAATTACACAACTGACCAGCCAAAAACCCGGCCCTATGCGCGGGTCGGCTTGTGTCCAAATTTCAGCGCAATCGGTGCAGTACTTTCGGAGATTAGATATAACACAGAAAAAAAAACCTTCCATTTTTATATATATAGATTGTAACCAAAAGGGAGTTCAAAGGCGCTCGCCTACCTTTCCCTTAATAAATCTGATCTGATCTATTTGCAACGTTGATCTGAAGACGGGGGAACGGTATGACGTTCAGAAGTGTTACATTTATTGGCGCCAGTGTACTATCATTTTGTTGCATTTTCGGAGAGCTGTATCTTTCCGGGCCTTAGCTGTCGTTTCGGGGTTGTGGTGCCAGAAATGTGGGAGGTAGTTGGCCTTAAAACAAACTAAAATGATTTCCCATCTGAATAATTTCTTCTTAAGTGCCTTTTATTCCTTCAGTATAGGACGGCAGAGTAAAATGAAGTGAAAGCAAAAAATGGTGTACCCCTGTTGCCATATAGGGTTCCAACCCATTCTGCAAGGGAGGAAGTTTCATGGCTCCGTCCGATAACATTGATGGCCGTCTCAAGACCTGTCAAACAACAGACGACGCGACAGGAGAGATTGCAATAGCTTGCTTTAACATTCCGATGAACGGGGCCAAAACGTTTTAGTCCGACTGTGCGACTGCCCCAATTACTTAAAGTTCACCTTACCCAGTCTCTTAGTCAAAAGATGTTGACTTTCTATTTACAGCAAAAAACTATTGGCTGAGGTCTATCCCAACGTCTGGGTCCTTTCATATTCCCGCCTGCTTTTGAAATGTTCCTTAGGATCCTTCGAGTAATGCTCACGGGCCTCGCAATTTGTCATAATGTCCTATTGGTCGTATGACTGCCTCTCAAATGGACTTGGCGGTAGATGTGCTGAACCAATACAGGGGGCCACATCGGAGTCTGGCAGGCGTTATTGGAAATGCGCACCCATAGCAAATGCCAGCACTTGGAGGGTGCGGTGGCAGGCCCAGTTGCAGGCTCACGCCGCGCCGACTTGGATCCCTGCCGCCGCCCATGATTGCTGTTGGTTAAAATCCTGGTCAAGTGTACGTTGTGAACCGGGCGATGTGGTTGTACACTCAGACACGGGTTTTCGCCGAGCCAGCCACCTGCGCCCTCTCCCGCCTCCGGTCTTCTTTACCATACCTCGACACTGGGCCCAAGTGTGGGCGGAGGAAAGGGTGTGGTAGATTCAGCGCAAGTCTCCCATCACCTTAAAGTGACTCACACGCAGGTCACCGTCCCTGATCCCATCCCGCTATGGAGCACACGGTGGACATCGTCGGCAAGACGGTCGAAATGTCGGACGACTGCAGACTGGCCTGCCGTCGCAAGCTGGTCAGTTATTATTTGATTCGTTCCGGCGTGCATCTGACCGGAGAAGAGACTGAGATAAATTCATAAAGAGACCTCCCAAATCTTGCATCAGAACTCTGTGTTTTAATGCCTTGGCTACATATCGCGGCAGTTAGTTTGCAAAACTGAAACCCGTGAAAACAAGCCTCGAGTTTGCTTCTAATTCTCCTTTGGAAATTTTGCTTACATCTCCATAAATATGTCATGAAAGAGGTATTTTTACCTGAAACTGTTGACAATGCCAATATGAAGCCGTCTCCTTTTCTCCCAAGAGTCCTTAAACAAGACCCAAAGTCGGACAACGACTATGTGCCGGCAGGTCTCAGCTCAGTGCTCGCAGGTTGAGACGCTTTGATGCTCGATGTCTCGGTAAGATGAGATTTTGTGGCCCCACCTGGTGGACACAATACTGTTGGGGTTGGGGTTAAGGGTTAGGGGTCAGGGTTAAAGGCTAGGGGTTAGCGCAACTATTTCTCAACCATTGAAAGCACAACCACGCACTCCCAATGGGTTTTTTGCATACAACTACTTGACCTCGTCGCTTGTGCGTTCCCCGGCTCCACCTGTTAAAACCCCTATTACCACCGGTCTCGTATTAGAGGTGACTGGGGTTTGTTTACTTCAGGTGGGGCTACCAAACCACATTCGACCGATGTTTCAATAGAAAAAAACAGTTTCGATCGAAAAACCAACTGTCCCCGTCTACCTTCCCTGCTTAAATACCGTGGGACAGATTTCATCTGAATTCTGGATCTGTTGTACAGGGAAGGTTGGGGTAAAGGATGACGCACAATCACGAATTTGTAAGACTGCTTTCAAGCCGTAAAACTCACTCCTCTAGGTGTCTGTTTTTCAGCTCCTGCTGTTTCTCAAGAAAGGCCAGTTGGTCAAAGAGCCGTTCAATCGCCTTCTTGGGGGGCTTTCCGGTAACAGTGGCCAAGTGAAGACCTCGAAGGGTGTCCAGCTGCATCTGTAGCCGGTCAGCCCGTTGTCGAGTGATGTTAAGTTCGGACCTAAGACGAGCTGTGGATTGGCCAACCTCTGCTAGCAGATCCCCCTCAGTTGGAAGCCCAGTCTCTGGTGTATTCTCGTCCTTGTCCACGGTGACCTCGCCTCCACTTGATCTTAGATCCTCGGTCTCACCGCCGCTCCTGAGTGCGTTTCTCAGAGTCTTCAGTTTCTCTTTCGTTAGCGATGCCTTTAGGTGCTGTATGAGGGATTTCCGACTGTTCTCTCGAACCTGCACACGGGGGTAAGGAGGGAATTTTTAATAGCATTCGAAACCCCCTGCTGGCACTATCATAAATGCTGCAACGCCCACCCCGGTGGCCACTCCTGTATTCGGCTTTAAGTATACCAGAAAAGCCATCCCACCACTAGCATTGAAAAGAGGAAGTTTCCGAAACGTCATTACAGAGATAATTCGGTCCCATGAACTCGTCTCCTCTTCTTCTTGGCCTTCTTCGGGGGATGATGAACGCAGTATAATGTCCTTATATTTCTAAGTTTTCTATACATACATCGACTACGTTTAATTTCTTGAATTTCGACTAAACATGCAGTCAGTAACTTGACAACGAGGTCTTCTAATTCAGACAGACTTCCTTGAAACTGGTGGTCGTAGTAGTCCTAACTTGGAAACAACTAGGGCAATGACCAAACGGCCGAATTAGTGACACAAGAAGTGCCGCTGACAGTGTTTCTACCTGCAGAACCATCACCATAGTCATCGTCACCGTCGTTCAAGGCAATGCCAGTGGTTTAACAGCAGACCTATGGAGAAAAGGTTCAAGATGCCCAAAGTGCATTTCTAGCAACCAATGGTCAAGTACTCAATCCAACTACGGATAAGATCTTACTTCGCAGCCGTACCTATAAGGGGTTAGGGTTCGGGGTCGGGGTTAGGGGTCAGGGTTTGGCGTTAGGGTTAGGGGTTTTGGTTAAGAGTTAGGGATAAGGGTTGAGGGTTAGGCGTTTGGGTTAGGGGTTGTGGCTAGGCTGGGGCTTGTCAACAGTAGGTACGGCTACTAAATGAGATCCGACCCAACTATGTTAAGGACCTTTACTACCCATATAGAATGAATGTTATTGTTTGTTCTCCTAGGATGAAGTAAAAATGTCTAGCGTGCATCCTTCCTGTAATCCTTTGAGCAACTGGTATCCGCAGCCGTTCGCGGCACGATACGGAATACTCATACAGGAGGGAAAAAGTAGTGGCCAAAGTCCCATGATTTACACAACGTGCTCGAAAAGATGAAAAAAACGACTGAGTACACGCAATACCCAGTCCACGACCGACACGCCATAGGCCGGACTTTTCTAGAACGCTCTCCACGATTGGCGCGCAACAGGCCGGAATGTTCCAGAACGCCCAAGGCCCCAAATAAAGAAGGCGTCTTTTGAGGAGTTGAGAAACCGTGCGTTCGCAGGCTGTGAGAATAAAGTGTTTGTTCCCCGAACACGTTTTCCTTCTCTCCCACCTACCCGTCGGGCTATAACAACTCCTATGACTAAAGTGACGGGTTCCAAGCCCAAAGTTACCCAATACCAGGGTCACAGCATGGCTGAATGAGGATGGTCAACAAACCACGAGTAATCAGAAGACGAGGCGGCGAGCATACGCAGCTTTCGATAAATTCTCGTCGGGCCAGTTATATTGGTCGTAAGAGTCGGCGCTTATCCAAGAGAATACGGGAACACCTCCCGGCATGGCTGGGAAAAGGCGAAACGAGGAGCATAAGCAGCCCCATTCTCGCGCATGTTGTCGATTCCAGACATTGTGTGGACCCCAACGAAGCTTTTCATGTGATTGATAAAGTCCCATCGAGCTACCATAAGGTACTAGGCCATCGCCTGTTAGCGACAGAAGAAGCGGCCGCCATTAGGCTACGAAAGCCAATCTTATGCGCACAGAAGAACCATGTTCAAGCTCCGCGCCTACAGTGGTCGGAGGTCGACTAAAGCTGCTGCTCTCCGCGCCCTTCCGCTCTCACCCCGCCCCTGACACTGACTGCTATTACCCCTCCCCCCTCCCCCACATTCCCACACCCAGCTCGTGTTTTAAGGAGAACTTTTATCGATCTCTCTTATCGCTGACATGTTTCACTTCGACCCCGTTCCCATATAACTGTACTGGCCCGACGATAATTTGTCGAAAGCTACGTATGCTCGCCACCGCGTCTTCTGATTACTGCTATGGCAATTTTCGCAACTCTAAAACCACGAGTAACCAATTCAGTCTCCTTAAGGCACAACGGAACGAGTGAGTTCTGTATGAACGATCGGTGAGCACCCCCTACCATCAGTCTCCTTTGTCTGAATGATTTATGCACAATTACTATTAAGGCCGCCCGGAACTCGGTGAACCAATCATGTCGTCTGGCTGTCACATGGGGTAGGAAACCAGCCCGCTGCAGGCCAGCATCGACTACCCAGCCCACGCACTAGTCGGAAGTCAGCACGCCGTCGGGTCATGGGCGACCTTCAGGCGCCGGCAACGCGCGATGGGCTGTCCACACGGACGCTCAGGGTCCAACCAATAGAAACGCGAGAATCAGACAAGGACATGACCCCTAAATAAGATGCCATAGACAAAAGGGTTCAGAGTTGATTAGCACACAGTGGCTGCTGCAGTAAAGTCGTTCTCTGTCGTCCCTGTTTGACTGTTGTTTCATTCAACAACTGCTGACGTACTATTGGGGAAGATACAGTTACCTCTTACTACGCGACTGTCTGCAAATGCCCTAGAAGGCATTTCCAGGCTAAAATGGAGTGGGCATGTCCAGTACTGTAACTAGACCGGTGAACGCAGTTCACACCGATTCCGAAGTTCTTTGGGCAGAGAACGAAAACCCCTAGATCAAATTTACCTGCGATGATTGTGACTTAGACCGTTGGTTGCAACTGAGGCGATAAAAACAGCTGTGCCGATTAAAACAGCGTAACGAAAACAGTAAAACAAGAGTGTACCTGCATATCATTCAATGTCTTCTGATTTGCGCGCAGAGCGCACGAAATCGAAACTATCTGCTCAGTTAGGAGTCTGTTGCGCGATTGCAGGTCATCGCATTTATTTTGCAGGCGCAAAGAGTCGGCTCCTTCATGAGGGGCGGAAGTTTGGACCTGAAATCCAAAAAACATCACTTTGATTGGAGTAGGTCGGGTGGAAATCAACTTTTCTTGCTGTACGTCTGCTGAAAAATATCCGAGAAATAACTTTCCTGCTCCTGTGGAGCGGGATATATTGGCCGTACAACGAGGCGTCTAGAAAAGGGGGTACACGAACACATGCCTGGCTGGATAGGTAAATAGGAAAGTCGGCCGATCCCAAGTCCTATCCTCGCGCATCAGGTCGACTCGAATCACTAAATCGACGCGGATCACCAAGTCGACGCCAAAGATGCCTTTTAGGTTGTCTACCGAGTATCAGCAGACTACTCTGAGGGCCTACACGAAGGGGTGCTAGCAATAGCCAAGGTTGGGGTTATTCGGTTGACGAATCCGGTGCTCTCTTGTCAGACGACGTTGGTACAAACAGTCTGTCTTCTCTGGCCGACTCCAGGTGGTGATCGCACGTCGCCCGACCACTGAGAGCAGTCAGAGCACTCCACGTGTTTGACATACATGATAGTTAGACCGTCGATTCCGACAATGTTCACCGTGTGCTCCACCGCAAGGTGAGAACAGGCACGGTGAATTGCGCGTGAATGAGTTTATAGTGAGTGTAGACTTGTGCTGCATCCACTGCGCCCTCTCCTCCCCCCCCCCTGGGCCCGGTGTCAAGAAGACCGGAGGCGGGAGAAGGCGTAGGTGGCTGGTACGGCGTAAACCCGCACCTTGGCGTGCCACCACACCGCCTGGTCCACACAACAAGTTACCAGGATTTTAACCAATAACAAAAGTGGGGGGGGGGCGGTAGGAATCCCAATGTGGGCCGGCAACTGGGGCTGCCACCGCACCCCGAATGTTGGCATTTGTTATGAGTGCGCATTCCGATAACGCCTGCCAGAGTATAAATGTGGCTCGCGTGTTGGTCCAGCGCATCTGCCGTGTGGCC